TTTTTTTCTTCTTTCACTCATTGTGCCTGCCACTGGTGCAAGACTATTTTTTTGCTTTAATCGGCTGAAAATAAATTCAAATTAAATTCCACAGATTCAGGTAAGTTTTAGCTCAAAAATGCTTTCAAGTTGTAGTGATATTATTATATCTTCCACATGAAACAAGGCAAGTTTATTTACTCTATTTAACGCATTTCAYTTACAAGACAATTCAAYGTGATTTACATGATGAAAACATAAAAAAGGACGTACGTAATGAAGGAAAGCTGATAATAGTTGGACCCCAGACTGACATTAATGATGTTTCAGTGTTTATTAGAGAAGAATGTAAAAAAAAATGTATTAAAACCAGTTCAGTGGCCATTTCCAGAAGGCCCAGGCGTTTCCTGGAAATAAACATTTGCACCTGCACCCTGCCAACATAGTGATGCTTCTGAACYCAAACAAGTTTGTCTGCTTTGATATAGATTTGTCATGTTGTCAGTGAGATCCAGGCGCTGGGGGTCTGAGCTGACTGGCTGTTGTAGTGATGCAGAAGTCTCTCTGGGGTTGTTCCCTCCTCACCTCAACAGGCTGCTTAATTCCAKATAAAACCTCCTCTTTAGAATCTGTTTCACCGTACCTGCTCCATTTTTGTCTTTTAGCATTTTGCTGGTCAGAGCTGTTGCCTCGTAGCAAGAAGGTTGCAGGTTCACCTCCAGAGGTTGAGGGACCCCGAGGGTTTTCTCTGGGTAGTTTCCTCCCACAAACCAAAACCATACGTTTGGTCTTTTGATAATTCTAAACGGTCCCAAGGTGTGGGTGAACGGTTGGTTGTCTCTATGTGTCCCTGAGATGGACTGAGACCTGTCCAGGTGTCCCTGTGATGGACTGAGACCTGTCCAGGTGTCTCTGTGATGGACTGCGACCTGTCCAGGTGTCCCTGTGATGGACTGAGACCTGTCCAGGTGTCTCTGAGATGGACTGAGACATATCCAGGTGTCCCTGTGGTGGACTGAGACATATCCAGGTGTCTCTGAGATGGATTGAGACCTGTCCAGGTGTCCCTCAGATGGACTGATACATATCCAGGTGTCCCTCAGATGGACTGAGACCTGTCCAGGTGTCCCTGAGATGGACTGAGACATATCCAGGTGTCCCTGTGGTGGACTGAGACCTGTCCAGGTGTCCCTCAGATGGACTGAGACATATCCAGGTGTCCCTCAGATGGACTGAGACATATCCAGGTGTCCCTCAGATGGACTGAGACATATCCAGGTGTCCCTGTGATGGACTGAGA